TTGGTGAATTGTTCCACTGTCTTTTTCTTTTCCCTCTATGGAAATCTATCCTACTGGATTCATTATATACAATATACACCCTCTATATCTGTGAAATAAACCAGTAGGCAGATTAACAAGAAAAAAAAAAGACAATTTAATCATTTAAAATGTTGCTTCTGTGAGAGGCATCACAGTGGGGAAAACGTGAATACCCACATAGGCAGATCTGACAGCTTATATAGTAGGGGAAGGTGAGGAGAGATACTACTTAGAGAAAAGAAAATGAGTTTTTAGGAAAGATGGAATGGTTCTTTAGAACAAATTGGCGTTATGATAGTTTATTGCAAGGTTTATCTGCATGTGGTGTTGATGTTTAGTTTCCATTCCTGTCCCAGGAGTCATCTACTGGGTTATGCAACTTCCAAGGAGGGGATTTATGACAACCGATTGTCTTGGGGGCTCTGTCTTGAGGAAGATAAGGGAATTTCAGTGAATGCTGCTCCTTGTCTTTGCTAAACAGCTCTAAATATCAGTATAACAACATGGCATATTTTGGGGTGATAAAATATGTGACAAAGTAAGACACATATATATTGGTCTTAGACCCTGGTTCTCTTTGAAACTGAACTCCTTTGTACTGTCATGAATGGCAGGCATGCTAGGCTCATATCATCCAGAGTTCCTAAATTCCTTTCTGGGTCCACAGATGTGTATTTTGTTCTATTAGATGATTTTTTTATTTGAAATTATGTATTTTTTACTTTAGGTATATAGTTGCTTCCAAGATACATTTTTCAGTCATAACCACTGAAAATATGTTAATTTTGAGGATACTGTTGTAGAGTAAGAATACACATTTAGGAAATTTACAAGAATATTGTTCATGAGGTAGCAAACTTTATAAGAATGTTTTATCAATAGCTATTTGCTATCGATTTGCCCATTGAGTAGTCTTATGCAAAAAAAAAGAGATGAGAAAGACAGTTTGGGGCAAGTTCATTTGAGATACGAGAAAACCAAGTTACTCTCAGAAAGAAAAATGATATACTTTTTGAAAAACTTTGCAATTCATCTAAACCATCCTTTTGCTGAAATGCATTCATTTTAAAGGTCTCTGCATCACAACAATAGCTTTAATGTGAGGCTTGATAACAGCTTCTTTCATTCTCAGTGTACACTCACCATTTTTCCCTTCATGAAGTGACTCCTGATGGACACTGCTTAGCTTCAAGTTGGAGGCTGCTTAACTGCAAAATCAAGTGATGATGATGCTGACTGAGAAAAATGCCACAAGACCAAAGTAAAATGATATTGTTTTGGGTGCCTCATATTTGCTAATTGAGAGGCACTATCTCATATGCCACTCAATACTTTAAGGGATTTTTAAAGGATAAAAGAGGAGGGAAGAGGAAGATAGGATTGCACAAGCTGTTTACCAAGAATAGATTATATTCCTTAGAGTTCATTGGCTTTTAATCAAGATGGTCTTGATTGCTATCGAGAAAAAAAGAAAGTATCTTTGTACAGTTCTCAAAGAATGCTGTGTATAGCTGGAACATGCTTCATGCCAGTTAGTAACTACTTAGTGCTTTTTTTAAAGTTAGAAGTTCAATAAAATGGAGTCACAGGCACAAGGTGGAGTCAAGACTGCCAGCCACTAATATTGATTTGCACAGTTAGAAATTTTGGGCTTTCAGCCCCACTCCTAATGATAGGGGGAAAGGATATCCTGAACGAACTCTACAGATAAAGGCTTTGTGGACTCCACCCCAGACCCGGGAACTACAAATCCCAGCATTACCAGAGGGAGGATTGTGGGACCTGAGGGTGGAATTAAGCAGCCATGTTTGGATATAAAACCAGACATGTGAGCTTTGGGGTTCTCTTTGCCTCCTGGCTTGTCTCTTGGCTTTTTGCCAGCTTTCATCAGGTTGTTGGAACTCTGGGAACTGGTAGGACTCATTAACCAATTCATCTCTCTCTTTCCCTGAGTTATTCATTTCCCTTTCTCTTTAAATATACCCACTATTAACCTTTTGTGTGTGCGTGCAGTTGAATCTCATAAGTCCCTTTAAGTGCACAGGTGAGGACCCACAGTCAGACAACCCAATCCATATGGGTTGCCCTGTAACTGTATGTATCACAGCCTCATTTCCTTTTATGATTGAATACTATGTCACTGTATAGATCAGATTTTATCTATTCATCCACTGAAGGATATTGCATTGTTGCAACCTTTCAATTATTGTGATTATTAGTACTCTGCTATGAATAGCTCATTTCAATTGTTTGGGCATATACCTTGGAGAGGAATATGGTAATTCTGTTTACCTTTTGAAGAGCTACCAGGTTGCTTTACACGGTAGCTGCACCCTGTCCTCCCCTTGCCCTTTCACTCAAACATACCATTTTGCCTCTGGAAGTTCTCTGCAGCAAGCGACTTCCCCTTACATGCAGTTTGGGCACAGCATCACCCATATAAAAACTTGTGTACTATTTTCTTGTGCTGACATTTTCCCCTTGATCAGTCCTATAATCACTACACTGTCCCAGTCCGGGTTTATTTTAGGGACATTAGTGAAATGGGAGCCCTGGCTAGAGTCACTGTACCACAGCATGGCCCCTAAAAGAGCAAGTCGGTCTTCCTCTGCCACTGTCTCTTTTACAGCACTCCATGGCCTTGTTGACCTCAAATAAAAAAACAACAGTTATGTCACTACCAAAATTTTGGGAACCAACAAGAAAAAGGCAGTTTGGAAGTGAGATACATATGCACTTCCTATGAAGCAAATCTAGCACTCCCTAATAAGAGTCTTTGGAGGGGTTCCTCCTGGGTGAAAAGGCATCTCCTTCATTCTGCAGAAGAGGGGAATTAACATCACTTCCCTTGGAGATGCAAGGAAGGTTGGGTCCTGTAGTTTACTGATTGCAAATGCATGGGAACTCTCATCTAACCTACCAGCCTCATAAAACAGGAATTCTGTACATTAATATTCACAACCTCCTAGAATGGAACATTGCAACTTGAGGAGGGAAAATGCCTGGCTTTAAAGGCAACTGGATATGGCCTCTTCATAAATCAGCACTTTCTAGTTCAGCCTGGACTTGGAACTGTGCTGGGGACAACCAACAATCAGGTTCTGCCTGCTTGAACGCCTTTTCTGCCTTCTGTATGGAGCGGTACTCTGTGTCCTTAACAGGGTGATGTTTTGTTGGTACCTCTTAGAATGCAACAGCAAATACATTTTCTTCTCTCCAGCCACAGACAGAGCCCTCTGACTTTCTGGTGACAACTGAGATTTAAAGGAAACATCACCTTCTATCCCCTCTCATGTTCTCATCCCTTGTTTTTTTGGTGTCCTCTCTCACATGCCAGATTTCTAGCAGAATTTCTTTAACATTCATTTCATTTTATCACTGATGGTTTTGTTCTTCCATCCCAAGAGAACTAGGACCCCCAATTCACTCCATTGAGAGGAATGTGTAAATCATTTCATATCTCTGTTTCTAGTATTTTGTTTGAAGTTTGAGAAGAGCCCTCCTCGTTTTGAGTTTCTAATATATATATGTATGTAAATTATTGCTCTCCCAGTTGGTAAAGCTTCCTAGCCTGCAGTTTTCATAGATTGACTTGATTTTTTATGGACTGACTTGTGTTTCCCTTTGTATGTAGCTAACTCAAGTGCACAGCTTGCCTGTGGGAGTAATTCAGAATTGGGCCCAAAGAAATTGTACTAGTTTCATTTCTCTTCTCCAGGTACCATGCTGACTGGCATACAAGGGGAGGCATGGGGTGGGGGGTATGGGTATCAGGCTTCTACCAAGTCATAAAATCTTTCCATTTAAATACTCTTATCATATTCATGTTGCCTCATAATCTTTTAGCATCTTTAAAATATCCAGCAGTCATTCTGAAGGGAAATCATCCTCTGACCCATGTTGCCTGAACTTATAGTGGAAGAAACTTAAAAAGAGGTGGAACTGGGGTTTGGGGAAGATTGGATGAAGGGTCTGTAAACCAAGTTAATCTGAATTCGTAATTAGCATTATTATTTAACTGACAGCTGCTATTCACATGTGGGATCCTTAACCAAAGTAAAGAATGTTTGAATAAAGGAAATATTGACTATTTGATAACATAAAAATGAGAAGTATTCTTCCATCCAGTAGAAGTCAAAAGGCATACATACCAAAAGCTGGGTAAAGTATTTACAACAAATGCAATTTACAAAGGATTGGTAGCTTGTCTTTGTAAGAAACACCTATGAATTAATTAAGTAAACAAAGGACACAGACAATTCACAGCAGGGGACCCACTTGCTTACTGACATGGAAAAACATTCA